GTGACCCTTCCTTAGAACTGATGGTAGCTAGGAAAATGTCAGTTTATATGTAGGTCTGAAACGTTAACTCTGATTTCTCTCCGCAGGTGCTGCCAGACCTACTGAGCTTTTCCAGCAATTTCTGTTTTTGTTTCGCCACTTCAACCTGTTCCCTGGTCAACATCTTCATCTCAGGCTTGCTGCAGTGTTCCAGCAAAACTCAGCACAAGCTGAAAGAACAGCACCTCATTTTCCGCTCTGGACTCAATATTGAGTTCAATAACGTTAGGGCTTGAGCTCTCCCATCTCCTTAATCTAACTCCCACAGATCAGGCCTTATTAACACATAGTCGGCAATTACACACCACCCATTGTTGGCCACTAACAGTCCCCGTTAATTACTATTCACCCTCCTGGCCAGATCGTTATCCACTCCTTCGTCTGTCCAACTGTTCTTCTGTCTCTTTGGGCAGTGTCAGGGTGCTGAGCAGTACTGGGGTGTAGACAGATATTGAGCACGGACAGTATTGGGATGTAAGTGTGATAGGGGCATGAACACAATACTGGATCAGACTGTTACAGGACAGATGATGATTCTTGGTATCACACGCAGGACAGTACCAATAACATTTGTTGTGTTTACAGTCCCTCTGCAGCGTTAGTAAGCAGCTTCTTCCTTGGCCTTGGTGACAGTTGCTTCAACACTCAACTCTACAGCATTCTTGGCATCCTGTATGCACAGCAAAGTGGCCCAGCCTTTGCAATCTTCAAATTTGTACAGGTACAGTTGCAAGAAAGAATCAATCTAACAACGCTGTGTTTAATTTATTCTCACTGAGCTATGTTATAATCACAGTATCCAGTAACATCTCATTAACATAGGATATACATGCAGTATCCCATAAGCCATTACACTGACTTAGGTTGCATACAGTATTCATTATGCATCCCAATGAGTTACAAATGAATTCCAAACCAGATGGTGAAGTAGGAAACTCAATGAAAATATTTTTCTTGACAGTTAGTTTATTTAGAACACAACTTTTCATGTATCTGCTTCCTATTGACTAAACCAGTATTCCATAATCTCTCTTTACACTCGTTTGGTTAAAGAAATGAACAAATAAATAATTGACTTAAAATAACTATCACTTAAAAGGGTCAAGTCTCCCTTATAATACAAATAAATGAACAAAAAACTAAAAATCAAATTAACTAATTAAATCAAACTGACTAGTAATAGCCCCTTAAAAGGGGACTGGTAACACAAAAACTATCAAGCAATCTTTCTTCATATTATTTTGGGTAAGACCAATTAATCCAAATAAAACAAAAGACAGCCCTTAAAAAGGGCGCTGAAATGGAAGGAAAAAGCTCCAAAACAAAGATTGCAAAATTGAAATTTAAATTCCTTGGGAGTGATTATGCAATCCAGCCCCTGTGGTACCCTCCAGTTGCAGGAAGGCCTGAGCAGACAGCGGATATGGCACGGTCTTGCTTTTTTGGAAGTGCTTTTAGGATATTTTCTAACTAACCTGTTCAGAGACTATACACCTTTGAACCTACGCTTCCTGGCTCAGATATGATGACATATAGCACTTAATTAAATATTGCCCTTCACCTATGTATCATAACAATGTTCTTAACATACCATGAACAACACACAGTGTCCAACGTTCATATTCTAACCTGTAATACACACAGTATCCATAATGCAGTGGTATTCACAAGAAAATAAGTGAGAACCAATTGGATATTAGAAAGTTTGTTTGTGTCCGGAATGTGTAGTAGAATTTAAAAATACTTCGAGAATCATTGCAATTTATTTCTTCCAAAAGTATCTTGATGATGTAGAAGTCAAATAAAAATTATAAAAGACAAACACATCAGTAACTGTACACTATATGCCAACTGCATGGGTGTACTGTTTTTAACTGGAATTGCTGCTCTCCTTCTGCTGTTTTATACCAGGATACCCACTACCTTCCTACTTTTTAATATTGGGATCCCTGCTCTTTTCCTGCTGTCTTATAACAGGATCCCTGCTCTCCACCCATTGATTTATGCCCAGATCTCCCTTCATCACTGCTGTTTCATACTGGGATCTCTGCTGTCCTCCCACTGGTTTATACTGGGTTTCCTGTATCCTCCCTGTGCTGTTTTGCACTGAATTACAAATATAATGTGCATGACACTGAATTACAATAAACTGTGTTTGCTGACACTGATGCATGCGCATTACGTGCTGCTTTAAATTGCATATGCACAGATTTCAGGGGGTCATAGCCACATGACGTCACATGTAAAATCTACATGATGATGTCAGTGCTCGAAACCATGCGATCCCCAATGAGCACACATGTGTAATTGCCCACAGTTGCCAGTGTCGGCAAACACTGCCATTATGTACACAATATTAATTATGTTTCACACAGGTAAGATACACCCCCATCATCCAGCACTATTAGAGTATAATGCATTTAATCCTGTGCATGATATGTAACATCAAAGACATTAGAAAGGCCAATGGATGGTAACTAACCCAGCCCTAGGCTTTTAAAAGGATGAAGGAAAAGTACTTTCAGCTGGGCAGGATCAGGGAAAAGTGGGAATTGTTTTGGTCAAGAAGTTTGATTACATGTTAATAAATATTCATTGGCAGAGAGAGTTACTGGACTCTGGAACAGACTGAAACATGTGGTGATTATGGATGCCCTGCATTCCTTTAACAGGACCTACAAATCTTTCTGATTAAGTGTGTTTTAATGGGTACAGGCGCAGTTAATCTGTATATCCAGGTTACTCCCTGATTAGCGTATTAGGGAAGGAAATCACTCCATTTATTTAAATTTCTTCTCACATTTATACCTCTGGTGTTTCCGTCTCTCTTGCATGTTGGAGATAGCGGAGTAATTTGAAATGGCAGCATCACATCTGGACAGGGAAGAATTTAGCAGATCCTTTTCATATGTTTTGTGTACAGAACCTTGAAGCAGACAATAATTACTGGCTCTGTCTGTGTGACTGTTATCTTTCTGCTTGGCTTTCAGTCCATTTCTGCTGCAGTGGCTTTTGGATACAGCAACTATCTGGTGCTGCCGTCACAGCTCCTTATTCTGACTGCATTCTGTTTTATCGGTACACTTTCCTTTTTCATTGTGGAGAAAATTGAAGACAATGCCTCAGGCTTGCAAGATTTCTGAGCATTATTTTTTTCTCTGGATGTGGTGGGGAATTTCCACAAATCTGAATGAATTCCAGGATCTGCTGCTTTGGAATCTGCAGGACTTGTGAAAATCCATTGCTCTGCTAGTGGAGGGAGTTCTATTTTAATCAGTGAAGGCCTTTGGTTGTGGAGGCCATGTAGTGTGGCATTTTCAGTCCTTCTTAAAACTCTCTTCGGTCCTCAATGTTGGAGCTGTCAGATTGAACCTACAACGGGGTTTCCCAAAGTGAAGGTAACAGTGGCCACCGTGGAGCTGTGCTACTCCTCTGATAGGTCCACGTGCTGTCAGTTCTCACTCAGGGGTTGTGACAATTTTCAAGCCTTGAAATTGGATCAAGGTACAGGAGAAAAGTTTGGGAAGCATTGACCTGGAATGAGTGTTACAGGGGAAATGAGCCATCAGTCACCCAACCTGAAAGTTTCTGCAAGCACTAAAATAAAAACTTCTGATACCACTGGAAATTTCAAATATATTAACAGTATTGCTTTACACTGTAAGATTATTTTCATACCCCTGTGTCTTACTTACGTCTTGCAAAGACTGATCTCACGAATTAGCTATTATTTCTGTCAATGCAGAGAATTTATAAGCAATGGCTAATTCTTTACAAATCAAAGTATAAGCAAATAAGCATGCTCAGGTTCAAATCCCACCAGATGCTGAAGTGTGGAATAACATCTCAGAACAGGTTAATTCAAAAAGGTATAAGCACATTATCTGGTAATAGCTCACAATCAAACAGTCAAGTTTGTCGCTGTCATTTGGTCTTCCTGGAATGGACAGGAGCTCCATGTGTGCTCATATCCTTCAGTTAATGGTCACTCTTTGCATGACTGCAGGTGTAAGTTACAAATCCACATCATTAGAGAGACAAGTCAATCATTCTATCTATCTTCTGTCTCTAGAAAACGTCTGAATGCAAATCTCGTACTTAAGATTCTTGACCTGGGCCATTTCTAAGCTTTAAACTTCTCATCTTTGTTTTCAAATCCTTCTCTGAGCTCATCCCTAATTATCTGGAGGCACCTACAACCTTTTGAAACTTGGCTCCTGCAGTTTTCGTATGCATCCCCAATTTCTATCACTCCATAATTGACACTTGCATTTAAATAGTGCCTTTAACATAGTAAAATATGGGAAGGCATTTTGCAAGAGAGTTATCAAACAAAATTTGAAACTAAGCCAAATGAAGACATGTTAGGGCAGGTAACCAAACTTTTGGTCAAGGAAGCAGATTTTAAGAAGTAGCTTAAAAAAGGAGAGAGGTAGAGAGTCAGAAATCTGTAGGGACAAAATTCCAGGCTTTGGCTTTGACAGATGAAGGTTTTTCCACCAAAAGGTGATGCAATTAAAATTAGGACTGTGCAAGAAGCCTGGATGAGGACATACAAATTGAATTGGTGAGGCCATGAAGGCTTCTACACTTAGGAAAGATGAGAACATAAAAATAGCACCCGAATATGTCAAAATCAAAACCCCGTAACCTCACAATACAGATTAGTTCTTTTAATTTGAGTATAACAGAATTACTACCAGTCAGATCCATTAGTTCATGAAATTCATAGGATCTAAACTGTAGATTCAAAGGAAAGAAATAAGGGCAGATATTTTTAATCAGCCTGTTTGGACAAGTTATAACATATGCCTGGGGCTTAAAAATAAGTATATAATTATATATAAGTACATTGAGAAAATTCTTCACTGCCCACCTCAAAATAATAACTTGGAGCAAGAAATTAAAGAAAACCAGGTTTGTTATAATAATTTCAAACAAGGATGAGATTGGTTGGGTTTAACAGAAACATTTAAAATGTTGGGTTAGGATCCTGTGTAAGTGGCTTTTGAGTGAGCTAAATGCAATAGGTCTGTGGGCTTTGCCATGAAATGTGCTGTGTTTTTGAGGAGTTGGCCTGACTTTGCAGTTTTAAAAATGGTTGCAAGGACCTAGACGTGGTCATCCCGTCCTCAGTTGTGACAAATCCCATTTTTGTTGCAGGAGAAAGGGGACAAGGCGTGACTCACACACACTGGAAACCTGAACTCAGCAGCACCATTTGAAATTAGTGCTGAATTTAAACGGACCCCATTTTTGCTGCTCCAATAGACACAGATTCATGGACAGTTAAAGTCTGTTAGCTGTAAAGATCTGAAGTTTTTTTAAATCCCCAGACCTTTAAACTTGAAAACAAAAAACAAGCTGCAGCTGCTGGTCAGAATAAAACAAAACTACTACAGGTCACCTGATATAGCTAAGAAAAAAATTATTACCACCTGTTCCTGCAGTTTTGAAAGAGTTCATTGTTGACATTGGTACCCTTCATCGCGATCGACGTGACCCAACACCAACACTCAGAACTAACACTTAAAGATATAAACAGGCAAGATGCAGACAAGATGGTTGGAGAGTCTAGAATCAGGGGACACAATTTCAAAATAAGAGGGAACCATTTAGAACCAAAATGAGGATTTGTTTTACTTAGAAAGTTGTCAGCTGGTCCAGTATTCACTGGAGTTTAGAAGAATAACAGGACTGAACAGACTGGATGCAAAGATGATGCTTCCCCTGACTGGGAGAGGTGAGGAGAAATTTCTTCACTCAAAGGGTGATGAACTCATGGAATTTTATACCACAAGGCTATTGGAGATGGTCACTGAATATATTTGAGAAAGAAATGGATAGATTTCTCGAAGCTGGAAGTATCAAAGGGTATGAGGAGAGAAAGGAAGGATGAGATTGAGATGGATGATCAACTGTGATCATGTTGAATGGCAGACCAGGCCCAATGGTCCAAATGGCCGACTCCTGCTCCTGTTTGCTATACTTTTAGGTGTGAAAAGTGAAACAATCAGGAAACACAGTTCGATAGCACCAGTCTGGATGACAGGATTCAATGAATTGTCCCTTCGTCTTCCTTTCAATTCTTTTCAGAACTTTGCCAATGAGACGAAGTTGTACGCACATCAGTGCTGTCTGTTATTCACTGGTTGAGAATTTGTGCTTTCAGATTCTCTGAAGGTGTTTTATTCTTCTTCTAATAGAGATTTGCAGAGATAGGTGATTAGAAAACCATTAGCTGTTACTGGATGTCACAGACCTGCTGAATTTCTCCAGTAATTTCAGATTATGATTCAGTTTGTGTTTCAGATTTTCAGCATCTACTATTTTATTTATTTGTTTTAGTTTAGCTGTTACTGGAGACTTTCTGGGATCTCTGCACAGGAGAGAGGCACACAAATTTTTTTGATGCTTTTTCTTTGCAGGCTGCTTTGGTTCTAAGTGGCTCCCCCTTATATTTAAATTGTGTCCTCTGATTCTAGACTCCTGAATCGTGTTGTCTGCGTCTAGCCTATCTCTGTAAGTACGAGTTCTGAATTTTAGAGATGGTTCATGTGGGTCACAATGAAAGATACCAGTGTCAACAATGAACTCTTTTGAAACTGCAGGAACAGGTGTGTTTTTTTTTGCAATGACCCCAAATAAACAGTGGTCATTTATTCATGAGCTAACAAAATTATGTTGTCAAGTACTTGTTCCCCCTAATTCAGAACCCATCCGCTTTTTGGTGTCTGCTTTTGCTGTCACTGTTCTAGCAGAAAGCAACATTGTATTCAACTCACAACCTGCTCCAGTAAACATAATTTTTAAAACTGCAACCATTTCTTTACACAGTTTCCTTGGTTTAAAGCATCATCTTGCTTCTTTGGTCCACAGTCCATAAATTTAGGATATCAAAATATGTAGTCTTTACAGATCGAGAGGACCAGGAGTAGACCGTTTGGCAACTTGAGCCTAGTCCACCAATCCATGGCTGACCTGATTGTAACCTTATCCACATTCCCTCTTAACTCAATAACCTTTCACCCTTTGGGGCTTAACAAGAATCTATCAACCTCTGCCTTAAAAATAATTAAGAAGTCTGCTTCAACCACCTTTCTAGAATGAGATTCCAAAGATTGATGACCCTCTTAGAAAGAAAAAAAAACTTTATTTCTGCTTTAAATGGGCAACCCCTAATTCTTAAAACATTGACACCTTGTATCTGATTTTCTCCTAAGAGGAAACATCCTTCCTGCATCCAACGTATTAAGAACCCAAAGGATCTTATGTGCCTTAACCAAGTTCCCTCTGTCTCTTCTAATTTCTAGATTAGCTTGTCCAAACTTTCCTCATAAGATACCATCTCCATTTCAGGTATTAGTTTCATAAACCTTCTCTGAACTACCTCCAACATTTTTACACCCTTCCTTAAATAAGATAACCAATACTTTGCACAGGACTCCATATCTGGTCTTACCAGTGGCCCGTCTAACTGATTCATAACCTCCCTACTTTTGTATTCAATTCACCTTGTAATAAATTATAACATTCTATTATCTTTCCTAATAACATGCTCAGACATACATGATCCAGAAAAAATTTTTACATAAAACCAAACAAACCTATCTTCAGTAATGATTCAAAGACAGCCAGTCCTGTAATGATCTCTTAAAGTGTAAATTAACTTGTGAACTCATCTCCTCTGTTGAGCTGTTGTGGTTTTAGAGCTTTTGAAGCATAGTCCAGCATTCATAATGGTCTCAGCCAAAATAACTATCTTTGGGAAAAGCCTTAGGCGTTGACCACTTAGGGATCCACAGCTTTGTGGTCTCTCTAAACACCATTAATCTTGACTCTCTTCCTCAGCTTCTACTAATTGCCATCACAATTAGCCCCATTCAATCTTGTGATCCACCTGATCTCTCACCCTTTTTTTAAGAGACAATCGTTGACAATGTTTGACATTGAAACAAAATTGTTGGCAATATTTTAATATTGTTTCACTCCAATAAAGATCCAATAAAAATGTTATCTTATGACTGTGCAATACTTGATTTATTATTAATGTCACCCAACACCCCTCTCTCCCGTATCCCATCCCTCTTTTCTGAATGGTGCAAGCTGACTTCAATTTGAATTATCAACACATATTGGATAGAAGTTCAATAGATAAAAGTCTGTGTGTATAACGACAATAAGAGTTGTCGATGTGAATGCTTCAATGAGCATGGCATTGAAAGAATTGGTCTCATTTAGACCTACTCATGTGACGCTGTATTTTCAACAATGACACCTATGAAAACAATATACTGAGACAGGATGCACATTGACTACGATATTCACACATAGTTGTCAATGATTGTACAGAATTGTAGCTCACTGTCAGTATCAAATTTCGCAATGTGAGGAAAACAAAATTAATAACCATAGTCTATGAAGATTGTAGATGTCTTTCATTGTTAAAGAGAGACAATTGGCTATATAGCTTGAACAGAAATTCTCAGATCAGGCAAAGAGACAGTTCCAAGCTTATCTCAACCAGAACAAGAATTCAACCCATATTGTTCGCTGTTACTGTTCTCTGAGCCACACAGTTGCCACCTAAACAACTGAGCTAACCACTCCCAGAAAATATGTTTTTTTCAATTTTTGATTGTACAATTTATCTTTATACATAGAAGAAAATACTAAATGGGAGGTCCATGGAATTTTTATCACTTGAGAGGAGCGCATCTGAAGCAAAATGTTTCAGAACAACTGGTCTGGTGAATTCAAAAGTAATTGCAGAGAAATAGGCTACTGAGGCATACTGTTTGTGTGTGTGGAGATAGCAAGAACTGCTGGAGTAAGAAACAACACAGAGTGGAGGTGGAGGAATACAGCAGGTCAGGCAGCATCAGAGGAGTAGGAAAGTCAACGGTTCAGGTCGGGACCCTTCTAACTTGTTTCTGTGTGTAGCAATTTGCATACATTGACAGCCATCTCTCTCAAAGGGCCACCAGTGATGAGGTGGTCCAACAACGATCTCTGCAAGTCAACCAAAGTTTTATTATACAGAGCAGTTGTCATCACCGTGCACCATATACAGTGAGACTTGTACTTATATCAGCAACATATAAGAATGCCACAGAAACTCTATTAGCAATACCTCTACTGCATCCTCCAATGGGAGGACTATTGAACAAACTACTCGAAGCCAGTTTCACAAACATTCAGGAAAAACTGTTGCAGAATCAAGTGTTCCCGAATGGCTAAAAGTGTCTCCTCTGCTAGGTCCTGCTTGCTCAACTCTCAAATGCCCAATGCAGCTGAGGAGGGCAAATAAAATACCTCAAACACACTCTGCAATTCTCCTTGTAGTGCAGCAGATTGACATTAATGATTTAGAAGAGCTTGCAGCCAATCTTTCAAAATGGCATAAACTACAACACGTTTTGAGTCTCCCAATGTCTCAAAAAGGGGTAGAGTCGCCATGGTCCTACCAGACTCATGAGAGAGAGGAGAGAGAGATGACTGGTGGCCAATTAACCTGAGGGCAAGAGGAGGGGTTGAGAAGGACCATGAACGGTAACCTCAGCCAATGCCAGAATTGAACCCCTGCTGTTGACCTCACTCTGCATTGCAAACCAGCCATCCACCCACCTGGTCAAAAAGGGGTGGCAAAGAATGAAAGAAAGCAAATTCTGCATTTTGAATATATGTGTAGCATGGCAACATGGCGGTCAGAAATGTCATCCAGTTTGGAATAGTATTAAAGGAATGTGTGGCTTACAGTCTCTTTGCGAGTTAAAGTTACGGCTGTATCAGCATCTGATTATCTTCCTTTCTTTTTTCTCGCTGCCGCCTTCGCATGTTAGGATGTGTTTTTTTTCCTGACTTTCTGACCATGACAGAGACACACACCCACACTTTATCTCTCCAAACCTCTTCCCCTGTTTCTCCATCAATCACTGTCTCTGACACACGCACCTGCGCAAAAGGCGGGCTTGTGGGTTGATTGACAGACGGAAGTCCCGCCCTCCACATATGGTGGGCAGACCGGAACTTGCTCCTTCAGTGGGTACTGAAGTGGCGGCGCTTGCCGGAAGTGTGAGCATGTCGGTCTTGGCCCTGAAGCCTCGGTTGTTTGGGCTTCAGGCTGCCCCTTTCCGTCCGGCTGAAGGCTGGAGAATGCTGTTGAGATCCGGCCTGTGCGGAGGGGCCGGTAGTAGCGAGAGGCCAGAGGGCGGGGTGAGGCTGCGGTTTGGTCCGAGCCCCACAGGTAGTGCAGGGTGTCAGACGGTACAATAGTGATATTCACATGTGGATGGTTAATCAAGAAAATTACGATATTGGCTCGGTAAAGCTCTGGTTCCAGTTGTCCACGTGACATTCAACCTGAGACATGACCCCGTTGTCATAGAATAGCTTTTAACGGCACGGAAAGAGGCCTTTCGGCCCAACATGTTCGTGTCCGTCGTCAAACATCCACATATTGTCTCACCCTTCCCCTTTCCCCATCCCCTACTTACCGCCACAAATAGCCCAAAAATGGCAAGACTTTTTTCTCCGTTCTGCTTCTGCCTGGAACTTGTAAAACATCCCTCCTACCCCTCCCAATCTGCCCCCGTCAATATTTTCCCATTACCCTATCTTTCTCATTGAACATCCATCCTCACCTCCCGCTTTTCCCCATGTATTCCTTTTTGTACGTCCCAACCCACTGTGCACCCCAGAAAACCATTGTCCTTGAGGCAACTGCCACTTTGGTGCTGATCTTCGTTCGCACTAACTTCTGCTTCTGCCAGGAGCTCCTGATTGCCCCCTACTGCTCTGAATGCGGAGGTCCAATTGTAGGCCCTTGAACACACTTCTGCTGAGGTATAAACATTTACTACAAGAAGTGACAATCTGGACTTTTCTTCCCCCACTTCCACAGTCACCTGGTTGAGGTGTCCTCAGACCTGATTTTTTGAAGAGTTCCTTCCTCTTAAATGCCTTATTTTTTCACTTGTTTTACCAGGCTTCCTACATCTAGGTGGGCTTCGCACAGCTCTGTACAATTATATATTTGCCAAAAAACATGGTGGGACCTTCATTCTCAGGATTGAAGATACAGATCAGAGCCGTCTTGTTCCTGGAGCAGCGGAAAGCATTGAGGATGCCCTGGAGTGGGCAGGTAGTGTATGCTGGGAGATTGTCACTTATACATTCACTGTATAAGATGCTCATTCATATCACTTCCTCTGTTAAAAACCTCAGGCTAAGTACAAGACTCAGTTATCACAATCTCCTTGTTCCTAACCTCAATATAAGACACTCAATTATAATACATTCTATTAAATATTCTCAGTACAAAGTTTTGATTATAATACACTCTGCTATACATAACTAATATAAGATTTGCTGTAATAACAAACTCTATTACAATTAGTATAAGGCTGTAAGTTATAAGACTCCCTGTGTTCACTGTGTCTAATAAACACTTTTACGTTATCACACATGTTTTGCTTGCTATCCAGGAATCCCCCCTGATGAAAGCCCTCACAGAGGAGGCTCCTATGGACCATACAAGCAATCAGAGCGACTAGATTTGTACTTAAAGGCCACTGAGACCCTGGTAATGAGGAATGCAGCATATTATTGCTTTTGTAGCCCCCAGCGTCTGGAAATGTTGAAGAAGGAGGCATTGAGAATGAGACAAACACCAAAGTAAGTTTGAAATAAATGATTTTGTCTTTTGTCTTCTGACTTTAATTTATTCCAATTTTGAAGGAGAATACTCAGTCATGATCAAATTGAGCAGTAAACAAGCTCAATGGGCTTCATGGGCTACCTGTTTTATTGTGGAGAAACTGATCTGGACTGTTTGTAATCCTACTGCCCTTACCTATCCCCATCCCCACCATTCCCCACCCAAACAACTAACCCGATCTCTGCCTCCTACCTGTTTCTTCTAAACCCTTCCATCACTTCTTTGGTCACGCTGCCAGTTTTTGCGATCTAGCTCTGCTTGCAGAAATAATTCATGAAAAAATTATTTAAAGATATGTGTAAAACCCTCCGGATCATAGTTTAAGATAAACTCTGTCCTTTAATATACATCCATCTTTAATATTCACCCTGTCCTCTCATATTCAATAGGTTCTGACCTATGCTTTTATCCTTTAACATAAACTTTGTCCTTTACCTGTACAGTACACTCTGTTCTTTATTTAAGAAAGTGACAAACTTTAATGCCTTTTACAACTTTATGATATACCAATCTAGTCATTGATGTAATGATGGGATTATGTCAGCTAATTCATGCACAGCAAATCCCCACAAACAGGAATGTGACAATGGCCAACTTGTTTAACAGTATTTGTTGACATATAGAAATTGGTCAGGGAGTACTTGACCTAGTCTTTTAATAGTGCTGTGGTTTCTTTTATCTACACGTATAAGACCAGATGTGTTAGTTTAATGTTGCATCTGAAAGGGAATCTCTAACTTCACAATAGTCCATCAGAACTGCTCTGGCAATATATGTCTGAAATATGGACTCCTTTCTGAAGTGGGCTTCAAGTCCATCATGTGTGGACTTGTGTAATTCAAATGCTGTCCTTTTTCAGATATGATAATCGTTGTAGACACCTGAGTCAGACTCAAATTGAGGAGCAACTGGCACAAGGATGCTCACATGTTGTCCGATTTCGTCTGGAGGAGGATGCTGCGCCCTTTGAAGATCTGGTGTACGGACTGAACAGGCTAGATCCTGCCAGTGTGGAGGGTGACCCTGTTATCCTTAAAGCGGATGGGTTTCCAACCTACCATTTGGCAAATGTAGTTGATGATCACCATATGAAGATCAGCCATGTTTTGCGGGGCACCGAGTGGCTCACTTCCACTGCCAAGCACCTACTGATGTACAAAGCTTTTGGATGGGACCCTCCAGCTTTTGCTCACCTTCCACTCCTCCTGAACAAAGATGGCAGCAAACTTTCCAAGCGTCAGGGTGATCTGTTCATCCAGAACTTTTCCCGGAATGGAGTCCTGCCAGAGGCTTTACTTGACATTGTCACCAACTGTGGATCTGGCTTCTCAGGTGCTGTGTGTAGGGAAAAGGATTTACTCTGTCTGGAATGGGTTGAGCAGATATTGTATGTAAGCAAACACGTTTCACATGGGATTGCATTTGTTGGGTTGTGTTGCACAGAGGACACTAGGCTGGTCTGTGTGGTATGTTGAACTGAATGAAGGCTGGGGTATGGCTGTATACAGAGTAGTGTGTAGTCTTGGGTGTGTTGAACACAGAACTATGTACAGACTAGGTCATAACAAAAAATATGAAGAGGCTGGACTTTGTTGCACAGAGGTCACAGCACAGGATCGGCTGTGTTATAAAGACCATTTGTACAGTCTAGTCGATATTTTAAAGAGGAATATGCAAACAGACATGTACAGGCTGGGCTGTCTTGTGCACAGGATTGTGTACTGATCAGACATCATATGTACAGGATAATACACAGACAGGAGAAGTTGTGTACAGGGTAGTGCAAGCCTGGGAGCACCACAAAAGCCACAGGGCAGCAGCAGGTGGGTGATGCAAAGACCCAGAGAGGCAACTCTGAGAAGAAGTGAAATGAAAACTATTAAAAAAAACCTGTTATCTTAACTTTGTGTTTTCAGGAAATCGACCAGGTCGGATCCTGGAGGAGCTGGTTGGTGAATTTGATGTGAGTAAAATAACAACCCACTCTGCACTCCTGGACCTTGACAAGCTGCCAGAGTTCAACAGGTGAGTAAGTGTACAAGACATCATACAAACAGAGCCTTTAAAAGCGAACAATGTGTTCCCTGCTCACATTGGCATGGTGCTCCCCGCCCACTCTGGCAGCATGGTCCCCACACAGGTTGGCATTGTGCGCCTCTCCACCTCACTGGCATGGTGGCCTTTCTTCCCCCTTCACTGGAGTGGTACACTAACTCTGCCATGTCCCAACACCCAACCCCACGCACCTGCGTGCGCAGGGCTGACCCTGTCCCTCACCCTTGCTGGAGTAATATTCCCCTATTCTACCCTCTCAAGGTGCTCCTCCCCCTTCCATCACTAGAGTAATTCATCTCCATCTCCAATGCCATCAGCAAGCACCCTGTCTCCCACCTATGCTCCACGCTGTTCTTTATTCTGTTCCAACACTGTGTTGCACCAATTGGGTGTGCCTTATTGTCAAGTATATTTTTTTTCTACATTTGTGTGTTACTGTAAAAATATTGCTTTCACTAATTTAAGTTTAAGAAGTTCCTGAGGCAAACTTCTGTAAATGCAGTGGGAAATACTCTAGCTGGTGTGGTGCTGCTACATGCTGTCAATCAATGATAGCATTCTAGCCTGAAGCTTGTGCATTCGAGCTTAGTGTGGAGTCACGTATATCAGCTGGACCAACATTTCCAAACAGTACTGAGAAAGTGCTGCACTATCTGAGGTGCCACCATTTGTGTAAGACATTAAATGGAGGCGCCATTGATTTATACAGGTTCATGCAAAAGATTCCATGGTACTAATCAAGGAGAAGCTGAGAAATTTCCCTGGCACCTTAACTTATTGTTTGTTGGATCTTGCTGCTGTGACTTCAGAAGCAGTTTATTGCCTGTGAAGTGCTTTCAGATGTCCTTAGGTCATGCTGTAAAGGTACAAACTTGTTGCTGAACCATACTGACTCTGACAGTCTCAGATTTCTTCCTGGTCTGCACCAAGATAGCTAATCATCTGTTGAGACTACAGTTGTGTATGACACTTGGATTGACACTTGAGACTTTGTGTGTGTCAGCTAATTGAGTGATTCCCACAAAATGGAAGGGCCCCCACTGTGGAAGAAGATTTGAAATGCAATATGTGGATAAACGTGAGGTTATTCACTTCCATCGCAAAAGCAGGAAGGCAGATTATTATCTGCATGGTGGCGGCTTAGGAAACGGTGAGGTGCAATGAGACCTGGGTGTCGTGGTGAAACAGTTGCTGAAGTTTGGCATGCAGGTGGTGAGGAAAGCTAATGGCATGCTGGCCTTCGTAGCGAGAGGATTTGAATATAGGAATAGGGATGTCTTCCTGTAGTTATACAGAGCCATGGTAAGGTCACACCTTGAGTATTGTGTGCAGTTTTAGTCTCCTAGTCTGAGGAAGGACATTCTTGCTATTGAGGGAGTCCAGCAAAGGTTCACCAGACTGATTCCCAGGGTGTCAGGACTGACATATGAAGAAAACCTGGAATGACTGGGCTTGTACTCGCTGGAATTTAGAAGAATGAGGAGGGAATCTCATAGAAACATGCAAGATTTGATGGAATTGGACAGGTGAGATGTGGGAAGAATGTTCCTGGTGTTGGAAGTCCAGAACTAGGGGTCACAGTCTAAGAATAAGGGGTAAGCCATTCAGAACTGAGATGAGGAAGAATTTCTTCACTCAGAGTTGTGAACCTGTGGAATTCTTTCCCACAGAAAGCTGTTGGGCCCAGTTCATAAGATATATTCAAGAGGGAGCTGGATGCATCCTTTGCAGCTAAAGGGACCAAGGGGCATGGAGAGAAAGCGGGAATGGGATACTAAAATGGCATGATCATATTGAATGGTAGTGCAGGCTCGAAGGGCTGAATGGTTTACTCCTGCACTTTTTTTTATGCTTCTGTGTTAGGTGAGGTCATGGGGAGACATTGATTCCTGGCTGGGAAACAGCCTTTGGAGGGGAAGGAGCGGCACTTTCTTCCATAAGCAACAATTGGTGTTAAATCACATGTTGATTTTCAGTGTGAGGGATAGATTCCTGTTCACTATAGGTGTTATGGGATATGGGACATATATCAACTATGATCTCATTGGATGGTGGATAGGCTTAAGGTGCTGAATAGTCTACTCCTGTTTCTATCTGCCGATACTTATCCACCTGCTGCCTTCTGTCTGTTAGGATTCACTTGCTGCGGCGAATTGAATGTGTCAACTCACGGCAGCAGTTAGTGACAGAGCTTCAAACCCTGGTTGAGAAGGAGTTTGGTGATAAGCTGGTGGACAGTGAGGCCTTATGCGCTGATTATGTGGAGCGGGTGTTGCTACACCGGAAGGTAAGAACAGTGTTGAAGTTCATCTTCATTTCTTCCCACTTTCTGAACTCTGAACCAACCGAGGGACAGGTTCCTGGCCCAGAATGCTAAAATATACATGGAGAAATGATTTTCCTGTGTGGGTCCAGTGTTGGTTTGGATTTCCTATCCATTGGGGTTCATACCCAGGATCCGGTAGTGAAATCCCAGTATTCACGAGTTGCAGGATTCACTTTCTAAACTGTTTTATTTTCTTGCTGACAGGGCCACATCAGCCGTTTGCAGGAGTTGGTGTCACCAAACTACTCGTACCTCTGGTTTCGACCCGTTGTGTCCCGTGAGCAAATGCTGAATCTGTCAACTGAAGGAGAGAAGATCTGTAGTGTAGTGGTGCAGTAAGGACCTATTAGTTTTGCAGAAGCTACTTGGACTAAAGTGATATGGAACATAACATTTCCTACCTGTCACTTTTCTCCTCCATTCGCTACCTAATCCCATTTCACTTGGCAGGGAAAATGCTCTTTCCAGCCACCTCCCTGTTATGTTGCAAGTTGAGGAAGGCATAGAGCTTAGATCAGAGGCAGTTTAACATTAGCCTGATTTACCCAATATTCCCTTGAATTCAATAGTTACTGTGGGTAGCTGAGAACTCGCGGTGGCTCAGCGGTTAGCGCTGCTGCCTCACAGTGCCGGGGACCTGGGTTCAATTCCACCCTTGGGTGACTGTCTGTGTGGAGTTTGCACGTTCTCCCCGTGCCTGCGTGGGTTTCCTTTAGGCGCTCTGGTTTCCTCCTGCAGTCCAAGGATGTGCAGGCTGGATGGATTGGCTGTGCTGAATTGCCTGTGGTGTTCGGGGATGCGTAGATTAGGTGGGTTATAGGGGGATGGGTCTGGGTGGGATCCTCTGAGGGTCGGTGTGGACTTGTTGGGCCAAAGGGCCTGTTTCTGCACTGTGGGGATTCTATGACTTGGATTCTATGACTTGAATCACAGAAACAAATCTTTGTGTGCTGCAACTTGCACTCACTTCCTGCTCTGGAAACACTGCTAATAAGTAGCAAATTGCATGAGAGACGTGGCAACACCAAAGCTGCCTGGAGATGTCATTAGGGACGCAATTAGCATTGCCCCATTGCTAAATACTGAATCAGGATAACAAAATGAGAAAGATTGTCCAAAATAGCCAGCACATTTTTATTAGGTAATTAAATAACACCTTTTGGAATTGACTCCTGAGGAACAAGCAAATTAATACTGACACATTTGCCCTATGTAGACACCTACCCTTCCAAACTGACTGACCTATTTCTTTCTCTGTCTCTTCTCTGTCACTTTGTCTCACTCTATTTCCTCCTCCCTCCCACCACTCCAGCCAGCACAATTCTTCTTGTCTCCCTTGGTTCGCTCCCTTACGATAATTACACCACAACCTCCAATCACCCCCTTAAGCTCACTCTCCACATTGCCCCCCCCACCACCACCCCCCCCCCCAGCCCATCTCCCTTTTAGTTCCAGCCTTATGTAAGTCAGTTTTAGAAATTCAGATGTAGACTGAGCTAATTGGAACTGATCTCTTGAATCACAGATTCTTCCAGACCTGGTCAAATGGAAGTGTGAGCCCAACAGAGCTAAACAATGAACTGAGAGTGCTACAGGCACAGTTCACAAGCACCAAGTACAATGACATGATGAAGTTTCTTCGACTAGCTCTCAGTGGAAAGCAGGTAGGCAGATGAGGACATTTACCTGGATGAATGTTTTCAGTTATATGGACTGATTGGAGAAGCCAGGATTGTTCTCCTTAGAGTAAAGAAGGCCAAACGAACAGTTGATACTCATGATCAAAATGTAGAATGACTGGTGGAGTAGGTAGGAGGAAACTGTTTCCTGAGGTTAGAGGATCAGAAATCAGGGGAAACGTTTAAATAATCAGCAAAAAACTGAGGGGTGTGTGGTCCATGTGAATACTTTCTCCTTAATCAGCTAGTTCTTATGACCTGTAATTTGCAGGGCTATGTGGTAAGAATGGGCTAATTGAATAGTTGTATCAAAGAACTGGCAGAGCCAAATGGCCTCCAGTGTTCCTAGGTTGCACAATATCTAATCCTGATATTCTGTGGGAAGAAGGGAAAGGATCTGCTATCTGGGGGCGTGCAGGGGAAGGAGGTTACGGCATTGAGAACTAAGAGTATCTTGAGGAACATTGTGAGTTTTAGTGTTTGTCTCATGATTTTTTTCGAGGAACTGATTTTGTTTTGATTTCTTTGCAGCAAGGACCGAGTGTGGCTGAGATGATGCTGGCTTTGGGACCTAAAGAGGTGTGTCAACGTCTGCAACACGCAGTCATCCATTGACCACAGCCATCTATTTGGGACCTATCGTTTGGACATCATGTGATGCACCTCCTAGACTTGTATGGAAGTATTCCTCTGCTGACATATAAGCCGGGCTGGAAAAATATTCAGCCCGTCAGGCTTACTCCACCATGCAGTACGATCACGTCTGATCATGCATTTCAACACTCTTTTAGCTACACTATTGCCTTTAATATAATTTGCATTGAGAAATATGTCAATCATAGACCCAATCACTGAGTTTCCGCAGCCCTTTGTAGTAGTGAATTTCAAAGATTCACAACTCTCAGTAAACATTTCTCATCATCTTTTTGATAAGTTTTCCCCTTGCCGCCACCTTGTTTTGAAACTGTAACTGGTTATAGACTCCCAAACCAAGGAGAGCATCGTATCTGCATCAACTTTGTCTATCCCTTTAAGTGTTCTGTATATTTCAATGAGATCACCACTCACATTAAAATTCTACAGAATACAGGCTGTTTCTCCAACCTCTATTCATAAAACAGACTTGCCCTTCCAAGAACAAACCTGGTGAACCTTTGTTGTACTCCCTCTACGGTAGTAAGATCCTTCTTAAAAGTGGCTAAAACTGCACACAGTACTACAGATGTAATCTAACCAATGTTCTGTAGGATTGAAGCATGCCTTCACTGCTCTTAAACTCGAATCCTTTTGTAATAAAGGCTAATATACCATTAGCCTTCCTAATGCCTGTTGCATCTACATATTAGTCTTCAGGAGCTTATTGACGAGGACTCCCTGGTCCCTTTGAATATCTACACTTTCTAATCTCTCTTTCTCATTTGAGAAATACTCTGCATTATCTGTTCCTCCTATCAAAGTGGATAAACTCACTATTTTTCCATGTTGTATTTCATCTGCCATTTTTTTTCCAGACACGAAGTCTCTCCAAATCTTCTCAAAACTGCTTTGCATCTTCCTCACAACATGCATGTTAAAATCAGTTAGTATCATAAAATGTACAACACAGAAATAGGCTGTTTGGCCCAACTGGTCTGTACAGTATCAGAATTTATGTGCTACTTGAACTTTCCATCCTACTTCATAACTGTATCGGTATATCCCTCACAACAACAAAAACAGAAGTTGCTGGGAAAGCTCAGCAGGTCTGGCAGCATCTGTGAAGAAAAAATCAGAGATAATATTTCGGGTCAGGTGATCCTTCCTCAGAACTGATGGTATCTGAGAAAACGTTGGCTTATCTGCAGAAAATAGGGAGGGGGGATGGGGTAGGGAGTAAATGATAGGACAGAGCCTGAAGAGAGAGAAGAGCAGTTGGATAGACAAAGGAGTTGATAATGATCTGGCTGGGAGGATGAATAATTGTTAATGGGGACTGTTAGTGACTAACAATAGGTAGTCTGTAATGGCAGGCTATGTGATAGTGTTCTTTTGGTTTTTATTCAGTATATCCCTCTACTGTTTTCTCCTTCTGTACTTAATAGATTTACCTTAAACATACCTATACATATTAAATGTATCTATACCATAGAAGCTTGGTCAGACTGAACCTGGAGTATATATGCAGATTTCATCATCTTTGTTTCAGGAAAGATACTGCCAGAGGAGTGCAACAAAAGTTGACCAAACATATCCCTGGGATGACAATACTGATCGATGATGAGATATTGGACATTCTGGGCCTATATTCTCTAGTGTTTCAACAAATAAGCTGTGATCTCGTTGAAACCTATGAAATACTTAAACAGATAGACAGGGTAGATGCAAATAAGAAGTTTCCCTTGGTTGAGGGGGTCTAGAGCCAGTGGGCACAATATCAAAGTAAGGGGATAAGATAAGAATTTTACTCGGTAGTGAATATTTGGAATTTGGAATATTTGGAATTTGGAATTGCATGGCTGTTGAAGCTCAATGTTTGAAAATATATAGAGTAGAAGTTGATTTTAAAATGTTTTGCTTATCAATGGAACAAAGAGTTATAGGGATAGTTTGGATAAAAGGCGTTGAAGTGTTCAATCAGTTATAATAGTATTAAATATTGGAGGAAGTGCATTGAGCTGAATGGCCTACTCCTCTTCCATTGTGTTTATTTACCTCACTTACTCCCTGAGATAACAAATTCAACATTCTAATCCTATATAGTGAAGAAATTTCTCCTGAATTCCCTATTGGATTTATTAATTATGTTTTTTATTTATTCACAAGGCCATCATTTGTTACCTATTCTAATTGCTATTGAGAAGGTGTTGGTGAGGCACATGAACAACTGCATTCATGTGCTGCAGGCACACCCATTGTACTTTTAGGAAGGGAGTTACAAGATTTTTACCCAGTGACAGTGAAGGAATGGCAATATAGTTTAAAGTCCAGATGACATGTGGCCTGGAGAGGATCTTTCAGGTGGTAGTGCTGCCATATGATGGTAGAAGTTGCAGGTTTACAAAGGTTCTATTGAAGGAGGCCGGTGAATTACTACAGTGTATTTTGAGATAGAAGTTCCTGGACAGTGACTCCTTCCTCTGAATCACAAGGTTTGGAATGAAACTTTACTCTAGGACTTGAACACAAAAATCAAGGCGAGTATTCAATGCTGTTGGAGTTGGAGATGCTGTCTTTTGGGTGAAATGTTAACCATGAACGTCTCCCCCCTCATGGACATGATACTTGAAACATGTTCAAACAAAAGGGGAGCTATTCCCAATGTCCTGGCTAATATCTGTCCTTGAAAGATACATAGAACACACAAATTAGGAGCAGAAATAGGCCATAGCTGACCTGTTTCTGTTTTGAATTCGACATTCCCATCTATCCCCAATAACGTTTGATTTCCTTGCCTAACATGAATCTATCTTGCTCCACCTTAGGAAATTTTCAATGACCTACCTCTACCATCTTGAGACAGTGTGTTCCATAGTCGCTTGACCTCTGAAGAATCAGTTTCTCCTCATCTCTGCATAAAAGCAGCCACTGCTATTTTTTTAAACAATTCCCTCTAGTTCTGGAATCACCCACAAAGGACACATCTTTTCCCATCAATATCACAAATCGTTCAATCATTGTTACATTGATGTATTTGGGACCTTCCTGTGTGCAAATTGTGTAATATGTTTTCTACATTACTACAGAATTACAATTCAAAAGTATTTCATTGGCTGGAAAGTACTTCAAGTTATTTGGTGATAATGAAATGTTCTCTATAAATGGAAACCTTTCGTTTAGAAGATGATACATGCGTATGGAAGTGTCAGCCCAGAAAACAATGTGAATTCGAACAGAAACTTTCATTAAACCTTCTTGTTAGACCCATAACAACATCAGTTTAATTTTAAGTGATTCCTGGACCCATAACAACATCAGTTTAATTTTAAGTGATTCCTGTTGGGCAGTTCCTCTCCACATTAAATTGTGAATTGCAATCAGATTTATATTTGTTTTTGCATCTGATGTGTACTGTCATTTGTTAAACTGCAGTGTTGGACTTGCAACCCATGTGTTCAACTTCCACCAGGAAGCATCATGAAATTTAGTTCAGTAAATCTGGTAATTTGTGGGCGATCAGATTGTTATAATCTAAAATGATTCACCAATGGCCTGGTCTATTCAGCATGCAACTCAAGTCCCACACACAACCATGCCTGAATTCTGTAACGGGGGAAAACACAAATATTTACATTTCTTTAAACAAGGTCTATTTAAAGTATACTTAAAATTACTTAAACAAATCGGTGAAATGGCAAACGTTGGAAAAATGGAAGATGCTGGAAATTTATAGCATTTAAGTAAGAGTCCACTGATAGTTTCAGTTGCTGTCAGTTCCATTTTCTCTGTTCTGTTAATCTGTCTTCCTCATTGTTTGTAGGCCTTAGCCTTGGTTTCTGTCTCTACCTGACTTTTGACTCTGAGCTACAACAAAAACAGAAGTTGCTGGAAAAGCTCAGCAGGTCTGGCAATATCTGTGAAGAAAAAAATCAAGAGTTAACATTTCGGGTCTGGTGACCCCCTCCTCAGAGCTGGACCTAAAACGTTAACTCTGATTTTTTTACTTCACAGATGCTGCCAGATTTGCTGAGCTTTTCCAGCAACTTCTGTTTTTGTTCCTGATTTACAGCATCTGTGGTTCTTTTGGTTTTTATTTAGTATCTGACTCTGAATTAACCTGTTTCTTTTGATCTGTCTGTTAACTTCGTGCCATCCTTATCCGCTGCAGCCCACATATCCCAATTTTTTCCATCTCCTTATAGCATGGTTCACAATGTGTCCCCATTTTGCCTGTATCCTGATTAATCTTTCATGCATGTATTTTCATATTCTGGTTTCCCTAATTCACCAGTGTTTCCAACCCCCAACATCCCCACAGCCCCACGAATATCCCCATTGATCTTTCATCCCTGAACACTTATCCTAAATTTTCCAATATTTCCCATCCCAATCCCCCCACCCATGACCCCGAGGATCCCTTCATGATGTTAATATCTTCCACGTGCCTGACATTGACCCAGATCTCCCCCACATATCTTCCTTACACCACATTCCCATTGGGTTCTGGTCCCCAACTCCTCCACTATGGTATAACCCCCTTCTGTCTTCTGCCCTTTTTATGTTCTCCTTCTCCCTATCCTTGCCCTTCTCCCCGCCCCTTTTCGTCCCTTCTCCCCCTTTCCCCATCCACCCCTTCTATTCCCCCACCCCCCGCTTCTTCCCCCGCCATCCGACCCCCCTTCTCCCCCCCACCCCGGTTGTCAGGCTTGTCTCTTTAAGCGAGCTGCTGTGAGCTCTCGCGAGGCCGCTCAGGGAGGAGTCAGAGAGATGGCGGCGGAGGAGGGAGAGACTCTGGAGTCTTGGCTGAGTGAGTTCGGGCCCTACTCGGGGGTGGGGGTACAGTGGAGCGAGAAGTGGTTCGGGGGTCGGGGGGGGAAGGAGAGGGTAGAGAGAGAGGGTTGGTGATAGTGAGGAAGGAGGCCTGTCGTCCCAGGGAAGTGAGGGTCCCCGGGGTGTCGTACCGGCGAGGGGCTGAGGAGGAGGGAGCCCTGCTCCTATGTTGTGTGCAGGCAGCTGGGGGTCTGGTAATTTGAGTTAATTTTACTGTAGGGGTAGGAGTTGGATCTGAGCCAGTAAATTGGGAAAATGAGGAGAGGGAGGACGAGTGTGTGATCCAGTGGCCACCTCCCTTGCTGGCAACCCGGCTCCTGTAGCTCCCTGGGCTGCAAGATTATTAAAGGAAAAACTGGCATTAGCACACTCGGACGCAATATGTTGAAATGTAGATAATGAGAATCAGTTTGTGCACAGGAAGCACCTCCACAAACAACTGCATATCAGAATCTATCTTAGTGATGTTGGCTGAATGCTAAATGTTGGTCAGGGCACTGAGGAGGTGTCTGTGTTCTTCAAATAGTGCCATCTTCCATCTGACAGAGTACTTCCAACAGTACAATATTGCCTCAGTACTGCCCAGAGTGTCAGCCCGCATTATGAGCTCCAGTCTCTCAAGTAGAACTTCAACACACCACCTTCTTAACCTAGAGGTGAGAGTATAACCACTGACTAACAAAAGTTAGATGGAGGGCATCCGCATATGAATTGGGCATCAACCGAATAGGGAGATGCAACAAACTCAACTTCCTACATATAGAATAAGTTTCATATTAGGCCCTCAGCAGTATACAATATCGTTCAGGAAGAAACTGACCTTGAGTATGTTTACATACTTTAATAGTTGGGTAAATCATCACAATATATTGTCCTTAAATTGGTCTAACAGTTCTATGTAGCTTTCTTGATATGTGTAGTGCGGTGGGGTTGCAGGTACATATCTGGCTAGTGCCCTGTTGGCCTATATATTAACCTGTCGCAGCCCCTGTTTCTTGAACCACACAAAAATGTACCTACAGGTTGTGATGTGACCATTGGCTCAAAGGGTTATGATTTTACTTAAAAAATAAGTAAGAGATCATCATCTTTATTAGATTTGGTGAGGTTTGGGTGGGTGGGGACTGTGGTAGGAAGATCTTAATTTTAAAATGTTTCTACTTTGCCTTTCTGATAAAGGAACTGAACTAAGAATTGCAGTAACTTTGTGTGGTTATGTAAATTAGCTGTTTAGGAAGTCATGGGTGAAGTCACAAGACAAGCACAGGGCCATCTGGTTATGATAGAGCAGCTGCTCCCAGACACAGCGCATCACTGTATTCAGCAACAACCATTGCTTTTTTTTTGTGGAGGTCTTAGTTTGGCTTTAGGCAAATTCTTTTTTATACACAAGAAGTGTGAATATTTTACTACAGTAACATTATTTTAACATTGTGCATCAATTTCAGTAAAAAACGCTTCACATGTAAGTACATGTGCTGTACTTCACAGGTACAATTCCTGTAACAGTTAAACATTAAATCATTACAGAACTTTCAAAAATTCCATGCACAGACTCTACCATACCAACCGTATTACAGAGCCAAAGTAGAGCTGGCATGAGTGTTGGCTGAACAACATATAATGAATACTTCATCATGGGTTACTTCATTCACATTCCTCTTATGAAGGATCATTGTCCATCAACCGCAACATGTAGGTGACGTGAGATGCCTACCACTGTGAATGAACTGTGCATGGGCTGTTGCATTGTGTAAGGGGAATTGTTGAAATAGCTCTGTGTAGTTGTCAGTTGTCGCTCAGTGGAGCACCGTCACCAATAAACCAGAAGGTCATGGGTTAAGGTTGCATTCCAGAAACCTGAAAATAAATACTCAGGCTGACATATCAATTAAGTGCTGAAGAGTTTATTTGAGCTAGAGTTGCCATTTTTTGATGAGACATTGAACTGAGGCCCAGTCCACTATCTCAAATAGATATAAATACTCCCACGGTAATATTTAAAGAAGAGCAGATAAATTTTTTGTCTCCGATCATATTCCTAAAATCAAAAAAAAAAGAACTGCGGATGCTGGAAATCTGAAGCCAAAACAGAAATTGCTGGAGAAACTCAAAAGGTCTGGCAGCTTTTGTGGACAGGAAGCACAGCCAACATTTCAGGTCTAGCGACCCTTCTTCAGAACTGATGGTAGCAAAAAAAACGTGGTATATATGCTGAAGACATGGTGGGGGGAGGAGAGTATATTCCAAATCAACATCACTGAGATGAATTTGGTCATTACGTTTTTTTTTGAAGTTAACAATACAGGTCTTAGCTGCCATGTTTATTACTTTCTAACAGTGACTATACTGCAGAAGAACCAGCTGCAAAACTCATTGGCACATTCTGAAGTCATGGAATGATTGTGTGAATGCCAGATCTATATTTTAAGCAAATAAACTACACAGCATGAAACTCGAGAAGCTTTTGTACTGGCTGTGCCATGAGCTTGGTATCCATGGTTAAGTATAGAATCCCTACAGTGTGTAAATAGGTTATTTGGTTCATCTGAGTCCACACCAAGCTTCCAAAGAACATTCCACCCTCCTACCCTGTCCCTATAACCCTGCATTTCCCATGGCTAATTCACCTAGCTAGCACATCCCTAGGCACTATGGGCAATTTAGCATCACCAGTCCACCTAATCTACACATCTTTGGACTGTGGGAAGAAGCCAGAGCACCCAGAGGAAACCCCACCAATCACCCGAGGGTCAAATTGAACCCGCTTCCCTGGTGCTGTGAGGCAGCGGTGTTAACCACCGAGTCGCCATGCTGCCCAGTAGCTGGAGCTAAGTGAGAAAAATTCTCAAGGTCCTGTTAATGATCCAAATTTTGTTGTCTTCCTGTAATTTCAATGGAGCTCTGTGGACCCAAGTTTGGGATTGATTTCCAAATCTGCCATGGGTAGCTATGATATACTGAGTCAGAGGTCAAAGTGACCTTTTTATATTTCGGTATTGTTCCCATAATCTTTTCATGTTACTGTGTTAACACTTAACTTACCTTTAGGTACCGTTGTCTGCCATGGGTAGCTCTGATACACTGAGTCAGAGGTCAAAGTGACATTTATATATTTCCTCTTCCCCAAACCTCTTAATTAGATTGTGGCCTGTAACATACTCCGAAGTATCTGTTATTCTATACTGTGTGTAAATCAATGTTTTCTTGAATTTTCTTTGCTTTGTGCAGCCTGTGTTGCTCTGCACAGACTGTTCCAAAACAAAGCAGTGGCACTGGCTCATTTTAGAGGGAAAGTTGATAGTAAATTCCACCACCTTGCCTTGATGCTTTAATTAGATTCCTGGCCAGTGCCTTATTCCTGGAAGTTTCACCATATTGCAGTGTACAAGGCAAGCTTTGAAACTTGCAAAAATGGAGGTTGATCTTTATGCCAAGTATAAATTGTGAACCGCTGGTTGCCAATTTGAAATGTGAAGAACAACACATAATTTATATTAACTTAATGTGACACAGTTTAGTGAATGAATTAATTGTATTAATACTGTTTATTTAATTTAAAAATTGCTTTAAACCTTCAAATTCACTTTCTTCAGCATCCAATGATGAGTTCATGAAATTCATTCTCAGACACGTTTTCAGCATCATTCCTCCACAACAAATCATCTTCCTCCTCATTGAATTGGATACTCGACATTTTTTGAACAATCTGATGAAACTTTTGCACTAATATCATCCCATGATTTGATTATGAAAACTACACAAAACATATTCCTTAAGGTTTTTTTCTCCATCAACTATCCATTAATTCCAGTCATTGCAGATGCGATTCTTGAATGGCTTGTTGAGACACAAAGGTTGACAATAGACATGAGACCTCCTGGTAAAATTGCAACATTGGTGTTATTTCTTCATGGGCACCTCTTGATCTCATCAGTTATATGGATCTGAACATTTCCACACTAAAAAGCTGCATTCCTTACATAGGCCACTGATCCATAACTTCAATCCATCCTCACCTATCTAACTTGTAAAAACAGAAAGTGCTGGAGGGGAGGAAACATTTTAAAGGAAGTTTAAAAAATCAAAAAGAAACGAGAAAGCAGAAATGCAGGCAGTTAAAAGGCAAATGATAATCAAAATGACAGAAAGGGCTAGAATAAATAAGCAGAAGAATGAAGCAGAAGTTAGAACCAGGGTAGGTAAAAATGGTAAGAGGTCAAAGCCTAAGGCACATTACAAATGTTGCATGCATTTAGATAACAATAAAAAGATGGATGAATTAACAGCACAAATAGAAATAAATGAAAATGACTTGATAGCTATTATGGAGATATGGTTGCAGGGCAAGCAAGATTGGGAACTCTTGTTCAAGGATATTTGACGTTTTGGAAGAATAGATGAAAAAGAGGTGGGGTTGCTTAGTGAATAAAGGAAGGTATCAGTGCGATGGTGAGTAATAATACAGGCGCAGTTGAAGTGATGTGGAATCAGTTGGGTGGAAATAAGAAATAGCAAGAGAAAGAAGTCATTTATGGGACTCATCTGTAGGTTCCTGAGTAGTTGCTTCACAGTGGGACAGAGTATAAATTGGGAAATAATAGAGATGTGTAAGTAGAGCAATACAATTGTCATAGATGATTTTAATCTGCATATTGGCTGGATAGATCAAATGGACAAGGGTAACATGAAGCACAAAATTGTAGAGTGCATCAGGGATAGTTTCTCAGAGCAGTCCATTGTGTAACCTATGTAAGAACAGGTTTTTTTAGATCTCGTAATGTGTAATGAGGTAGGACAAATACAATATCTCACAGTTCAGGATCTTCCAGGCAGTAGTGATCACAACCTGGTAGGGAGAGCAGTTGGGTCTCAAACCAGTGTCCTCAGCTTAAATAATGACGATTACAGTGGTATGAAGAAAAAGTTGTCTGAACTAGTCTAGATTATAGACTAAAGGGAAATTGCCTGAGGAGTGGCAGACATTTTATAAAGTCTAGCAAAAAGTTTGTTCTGATCAAAAAGAAGGACTCAGTGAGAAAGATGACTAACCTGTGCTTAACAAGGGCAGTCAAGGAGAGTATCTCATCAAAAACAGACATAGAAATTTGCAGAAACTAGTGATGGCTGGAGATTAGGAGTTTTTTAGGAATCTTGCAAGGGGATAAAATAAGTTGAATGAATGGGCAAGAAACTTGGCAAATGGAATTTAATGTAGGAAAGTGTGAGGTCATGCACTTTGACGGGAAGAATCAAAAGGCGGACTATTATTTAAATGGAGAGAGACTCCAAAACAATATAGTTCTTGTGGGTAAACACAAAAAGTCAACATTCAGGTACGGGAAGTAATTAAGATGGCACATAGAATTTTGGCCATTATTGCTAGGGAGTTGGAATTTAAAAATAGGGGGGAAAACCCAAAGAACTGCGGATGCTGGAAATCGGGAAAAAAAAGCTGAAATTGCTGGGAAAACTCTGCAGGTCTGGCAGCATCTGTGGAGAGAAAGCAGAATTAACCTTTCAGGTCCAATGAGTGGTCAGATACATTCTGAAGAAGGGTCACTGGACCCGAAACATTAACTGTGCTTTCTCTCAACAGATGCCACCAGAGCTGCTGAGTTTTCCCAGCAATGTCTGCTGCTGTTAAAAATAGGGAAGAAAATAGGGAATTGTACCTGGAGTAATGTGTGCAGTTTTAGTTCCTGTATTTAAGAAAGGAAACAATGAAAGTAATTCAAAAGAGATTCACTCGTCTGATTCCTAAAATGTACAGGTTGAATTGTCAAGAACCACTAAACAGGTTTGGCCTTTCTTCACTGGTGTTTAGGAGAATGAGGCGTAACATTATTAAAATATGCAAGCTTCTGAGGGAACTTGACCGGGTATATATTTTCATTCATGTGGGGACCTCAAACTATGGGAGACTTTTTTAAAACTGAAATGCAGAAGAATTTCTTCCCCCAGAAAAGTAGAGAGTGTTTGGAGTTCTCTACCTCAGTAGATAGTTGTGGAAATTAGATCACTTAAATTATTTAGAGGAGGTGAATAGATTTTTGAAATATGGGGGAGTTTAGGGCTATGAAAAGCTGCCATGTAAGAAAAGCTGAAGCCCGAGGCACATTAGCCATTATCTTGGTGAATGGCAGAATAAGTTTAAGGGGTCAAATGGCCTACTGCTACTATTTCTTATGTTTTTATGAAACTGAACTGGTCTGGCAGCATCTGTGAAGAGAGAAAGTTACCATTTCGAGTCTAATTTCATTCTTCAGGCATTGATAAGTGTATGTGGACTCAAAACATTCATTCTGTTTCTCTTTTGACATACTGCCAGACCTGCTGGGTTTCTTGGCACTTTTTTAAAATTTCAGATCTCAAACATCTGCTGTATTTTTGGTTTTATCCAACTGTTGTTATGAACATGCGCAAAAGCTCCTTCAGTGAACTTGTTGATGGGCTTGGTTTTATGTTTGAAAATTACAGTAGGCTTTAATTTCATACTGTCAACCCCACAGCTAATGCTAGCTAATATGGATCTTCTCATGACCTGTCATTTTCACTAGAATTGTATTTGAACCTCTCTACTCCACAGTTTGACTGCTATACATATTAACATTCATATGCCCTTCACCAATGTGGCCAATGTGACTTAATGAGTGCTTGTGTTTTGCCATTGATAAATCACCAGAAATTAGCAATTTTGGCATGAAGGTCTGTTGGTGAGCAATCTTCTTTTTTGCCGCAACCGTAAATTGCTTTATGGAATGAAGCATCCACACGAACTAGTTGTTTGTCTGAAATCTTTGCTAGAATCAGGGTTTAATTTGGCCCATTTAAGTGTGTTTATACGTATTGCATGAGATAACAAGGTGTGGAGCTGAATGAACACAGCAGGCCAAGCAGCATCAGAGGAGCAGGAAGGCTGACGTTTCGGGCCTAGACCCTTCAGAAAAA